CTATACATGTAATAAAATTCTAACTAAGCCGAATGTGTACATTAATTATTTTTTGGAAAATCTTATTGAAATAGACATTATTATCGATGCAGAAGCCGAATCTATAGTTTTTTGAATTTTTGTCTGTCTGTCTGTTACCGCATCACAGAAAAACCACTGGAGGGATTTTAATGTGGTATAGTGATAGCTGGTTATCCGGATCAACATATAGGATACTTTTTACCGCGGGAAAATGTCTCATTTCTGAGAAAAAATACGAAAGCTGCAATGTAAGAGTATACTAATATGTAAAACCTAAGAATTTGGTTTTTGGTCATATGAACGCGGGCGGAGCCGCGGGCAACGCTATTTAATAAAAAAAACTAACAAATTAAAAAAGAAAAAGAAGAATTCAAGGTTATTTTTAAAATATCTCTTATGATTATTATATTTTATAATATTAGTGGCTTGGTTTAGCCACGTTGTATCTCAAGTATCTAATATTCTTTAAGGGCACTTATTACTCTTAATAAGAAATAATTCAGGGGCTTGACCTTGCACCAAGTAGTAATATCTGAAGATTTATTATAAGATAAAATTCGAGTAAAAGTAATGATCTATAAGTACATCTCTTATATATAAATAGGCAAAGACGAAACAATTAAGTATCTATTCTCATCAGTTTCAACCGATTTTCTTTCTTTTTGTTTAGTAACTATAGTTTTTTATATATGTAGGTCGGTAAACACTAGTTTTCATTAATGCTTCTTATAAGTTGGATTCAATTTTTTTTCAGTGGCCTTGTAACAGCTGGATAAATTTAGTGTATGTCTATGTGTACCTATTCAGCCCTTTTAAACGTCCGACTGCTGGGCACGGGCCTCCCTTCAGTACGAGGGGATCAGGCTAATCAGGCTATAGCCTGATCTCCCTCGTACTGAAGGGATGTAGTCAACCATACTGGCCAAGTGCGGATATTTATTTTGAAAACTTCTCCGACATACAGGTTTCCTCACGATGTTTTCATTTACCGTTAAGACAAGTGGCAATCATGTTGGAAATGATTTGCACATGAAAACATCAGAGGTGCGAGACACGGGATTTGAACCCACTTCACTCGGTTTCCCAAGCGAGCGCGTTACCACTGGGCTGCCATTTCCTTACATAAATAAATTAATTTAGTAGTTATTGCAAAAATCTTCATCTTGTCACTTATAGAAAGTCAAGAACGGAGTAATCAACTTTGTAGTTCTTCAGTTTAGCCCGCAACAATAAAGTACCTACGTGTAAGTGGAAAAAGTGAAATATGTGTATGTATATTGACCCAATTAGGACGTTAGATATATTGTACACGTGTTCGTTAAAGGTGAATGCTATTGTCCAATTAAGACTACCATGAGACCTGAACATGTGCTAGGTTATACGAAGACATATTATAATTTTAAAGATTTATTAAAATTATACGCCACGTTTGGCTAAGTTTTTAGTGACCATACTTGCTGCGCCAGCGGTCGCGGGTTCGAGTCCCGCTGGAAGCATTCATTTGTGTGACGAAGATTTGTACCCCAGTTATGGGTGTTTAAATTTATAATACGTATGTATTTAAAGTTATATTTGTGTAGTGTACCAACTATCTGGTATCCAATAACACAAACCTAGTTGCTTACCATGGAACTAGATGGTGCTGTGTGTTAATGCCACAACATATTTATATTTATTTTAATTGCTATACTCATGGAAATAACATATTATCTCGTAGTGGAGAGTGTGTAACGTGATTACACAAAAAATAATAATTAAAGATGGCACGTCTGTAGCATGCTTTATACATCCTAAGACAGTTGTCAACACATGACAATTAACAGACAAGAACAGTTAATCGTAAGTTTCCGTATGTAAGAGAGGAACAAAACATTTTCCAAAAAGGATTTGAATTTACTAGAAAACATTCGAATTTTTGAATACTAGAATGTTCTTTGTTTATGAATATAAAAAGAAAAGTAGGAAAAAATAGGAGAAAGTGAAGAAAAGTGGAGTAAAGTCATAGTGAAAGTGTAACTAGAGGTGAAAAATAGTGTTCAGAGACAGGTTTAAGCCAACACTGTTTATGTACTGCCTGTGTTTAAGAAGTGCCATAAGTGACTATTATGAACCCAAAGCAATAAAACATCTATAGCGTGTGTATAAGAGTTAATACGTACTTTAATTGCCGATCCCAAAACTCACAGAATGTAATAATAATTAATAGTATATATTAGATCTAATTATTTATCATGAGTCTTTTAAAGTAAGAAAATTGATGAAGTTGTTGAACAAACTACTGTACTGTTTATTTTAATGCTACAAATTGACTTACTGTACAGTTTATTTTAATGCTACAGATTGATGAATTTATTATATTATACCGATACCATTGTAAGCATTAACCCACCATTACCACCCATTATTATGTTGTTCATATGTCTCCGTTACACACTTTAAAGTTAAGGTTAAACACACACAAAATCTGTTATATGTACATATTTCCAGTTATGAAAATATTTATACGCCTTACCTACTAAAAACTGTTTTTAAATGCCGACCCTTATCCCTAATTAGAACATGTTATAACAGAATTTAAACAAAAACATACCTAACAAAAATTCAGAGAAAATCTTACAAATACACGTACCTAATACAATAAAAGATTATATAAATCTAACATAAAATTTAGAATGACTTAAATTTTTTAAAGTTTAACACTTCATATTACAGAATAGTAAAAGTTTGTTGCGAAACTGGCGATTTTGAATTTAAAACTGAAATCTTATTGCACTAGGAATTGTTGGAAAGTTTTAGTAAGTGCAATTGGTATCATTAATTAGTTGCAGAAGTAACTCACGTCTTTACAACGTTTAATTATATAAACCAACTTAAAGCCTAGTCTTTTAGTGCATAAGTTATAGTCTTACTTTGTGTTTTAATGTTCTATTTACTGTAGGAACATTCATCATGCTTAATAGTATTTTATTTTTAGGACACATTACATACATATTATTTATTTATTTATTTATGTAACATAAAATATATATTACACAAAATAAAGTAATAGAATGTTGACAAAGAATAACTTATATCTTTAATAGATTTCTTCCAGAAACCCTTCAGAAGTGAGAAAATACGTTAATTTAGTACGGTGGAGGTACAGTATGTACAGCATTAAATGGAATTATAATATATATATATATATATTTATATATATATATATATATACACACATACGTACACACATTTGATAAATAGTGCTGTTTAATTCTAAATTTAAATGTTGTGAATGCGGGATCATCTTTGAAAATATAATCAGGCAGTGAATTCCACAATCTTGCCGTTATATATTATGTACTCATTCGAGGCGATTTGTATTGTCAATGAAACAAAGTTTTGTATTATGTAGGTATAGGTACCGTACCGTACTTAACATTGTTGACGTATATAGGGGTTCTGTAGTCAAAAAACAATTAACGTAAAACTTATAATTTTGTCATGTTCGTCTGTTCGTCTGTCACAACCGTTTTACTCTGATAATTTGGCAGACAATAAAATTTAACTAAAATTTGGCAGATCTCATGTGAAGATTTAGTTGTCGTTGCTTGTAGTCGAAGATGCGTTAAGTAGTTTTTGAAATATGAGACGCATTACAAAAATTTACTTTGTTTCTCATAATACCGAATAGGTATTATATGTAGATGAATAAATATAGTTTTACTTTATACGTAATAAATTATGGTTGTTAAATCATGAAATAATTGTATTTTTTACTTGGAAGCCTCAGAGTACGAGTCCGTCTGGCTTGACTCGCCCGATATTTTTTATGCTGTGGTTGTGTATGTTATTTAAAAAGGTACATAAATTAGCAAGTTAGCGCAGCTCGTATACTCATAGCAAACATGTGTACGTCATTCAGGCATAGATTAACTTGTCTAAAATTATAATAAAAAATATATAAATATGTTGGGACATTAACACACAACACTAGTCCAATGGTAAGCTACAAGGCTACATATACGTAACTTTAAATAATATAAATATAAACACTCATGACTGGAGTATAAGCATTCGTGCTCATTACACAAATGAATGCCCCCAGCGGGTCTCGAACCCGCGACCGCAGGCACAGCAAGTAGGGTCACTACAAACTGAGAAAACGTGTCGTCAAAGTTGTAATATTCACATGCATAGCAAATGGTTATTTAAAACTGTAAACTTGAAAAGGTTTTGACTGGACCTAACCCTAAGACAAGATTATTTCTTAATTCAGTTACTAACTTTACCAAAGCACTTTGTGATTGTAAATTAAAGTCCGAAATTAAAATAATTTATTAACTAATTAGATTTTTTTAATAAAATTGTCCTTCTTGTAAAAAAACTTCCAAGACATTTTTTAAATAAAAAAATCTTTTGCTAAACTTAATTAGAGTAATTGTTACTTTTTACTTTACTTTTGAATAGTACTATAATTTATTTATTATATTTAGCTATACGTTACATTATTTTCTTAAATAAATAAATATAAATTATTATTTTATATCTATTGTGTAAAATTCAACTGTTTTTGAAATAAAATTAAACTTTTGTTTAAGACTTCCACATACAATATTTAATATAACATTTTTCAAACTTTACATATTTAACATTGATCCATTTTTATTAAACTTAATACTTTTTCATTGTTTCAGCATTAAACTTCGCCAACAATGAACCGCTACAAGCATTGGCTGTTTCAACAAAAACCATCATTAAAAGGGTAATTGTTTATTTAAACGTAAAGATCTTAAACTAAAATCAAATTGTTACATAAGCTATAAAAGGTTTCTCTATTTTCATTACAGAAATATGCCGTATCGAGAATTTTACCCTAAACAAATAACATTTTGGGATCAAACTAAGATACATTGTAGCCATTTGCTTACTGAAAGTATTCAGAACATCTACTCGGGTAACATGAGCAATGCTACGTAAAACGATGTCGACGAAACGACAAAATGGGCCAAACATACACACATAACTACGCTAACTTTACTTCGATAAATTACTCGCAATCTTACGACCTAATAGACGCTGACAAAGACGTTTGTGTCGTCGCTGATGACCCTAAATATCCAAGTAGCTTTGGAATAACGCTAGCCGTGCCAGAATGGGAGGCTATTTGTACAGCTATAGTACTTACACTTATCATCATTTCCACTATCGTTGGTAACATCTTAGTAATATTAAGTGTTTTCACATATAAACCTCTAAGAATCGTTCAAAATTTTTTCATAGTGTCACTCGCAGTAGCAGATTTAACGGTAGCAATATTAGTCCTTCCACTAAATGTAGCATATTCGATCCTCGGACAATGGGTTTTCGGAATATATATGTGCAAAATGTGGCTTACGTGCGACATAATGTGTTGTACATCGTCTATATTGAATCTTTGCGCAATAGCTCTAGACCGATATTGGGCAATAACGGATCCAATAAATTACGCACAAAAGAGAACGTTGGAAAGAGTGCTTCTAATGATAGGCGTAGTGTGGGCATCTTCCCTCATTATTAGTTCACCACCTTTATTGGGATGGAATGATTGGCCAGACGTTTTTGAACCGGACACGCCATGTCGCCTAACATCACAACCTGGTTTTGTTATATTTTCCGCATCTGGATCTTTTTATATACCTTTAATAATAATGACAGTAGTTTATTTTGAAATATATCTAGCCACTAAGAAAAGGCTGAGGGACCGCGCTAAGGCTACTAAAATTAGCACCATATCAAGTGGACAAAATAAATTTGCGTCTAAAGAGAGTGATCAAAATGACCAAGATTCCGTTAGCTCGGAAACGAACCACAATGAACATCACGGGGCAACACGCCTTGTATCAGAAAATGAAAAACAGAAGAAAACAAAAAAATCTACACCCAAGAAAAAATCAAAGAAACGATATTGGAGCAAAAATGATAAATCTCATAATAAACTCATAATACCTATTCTGTCGAATGAAAATTCCGTTACGGATATGGCGGAAAATTTGGAAAATCGAAATACGTCTTCAGAGAGTAATTCTAAAGAAACACATGAAAATGACATAGAAGTTATCGAAACTATTGTGAAAATCCCCAAAAGATCGAAACCCAATCAGCAAAACACTGTCTATCAGTTTATAGAAGAGAAGCAACGTATTTCACTAACCCGAGAACGTCGCGCAGCTCGTACTTTAGGTATAATTATGGGAGTGTTCGTCGTATGTTGGTTACCTTTCTTTGTTCTTTACCTTGTCATCCCATTTTGTGCGAGCTGTTGTTTGTCAAACAAGTTTATAAACTTCGTAACTTGGCTCGGATATATAAATTCAGCATTAAATCCTTTAATCTATACAATATTCAATATGGACTTTAGGAGAGCTTTCAAAAAACTTCTGTGCATAAAACCATGAGTAACTTAAATATTAAATATTTAATTGTGCCAAATTATTAATTTAGATGAAAATTAAGCTCATATCTTGTAAAGCTGCTGAGTTGCTCAAAGTAATCTTTTATAAATTCTCAATATAATAAGTAGTGTAGTGTGTTGTAAATAGTAATTCTTTTAATCTTCTAAAGTGAACCGTCTATAGAATAGCTAAAATGTAGAATTTTCTGTACAGCAAATATTTCTAGTACCTACTTCTGAACCCTACTCTAGTATTACGTACCATTTGTTATTGTATTATATTGTATCCTTAAAATGTACATAATATGTATGTAACGATGTTGTGCATAGCGCAGTAGAGACTAGATGGCAATTGTACCCTAAAATGTAAAATAAGTATTCATAAGATAGTTTTAGAAAATATAATTATATCGCCAACGAAATTTATTCTAATGTACATAGCAATAATTGAATTGTATATACATATCTTATAACTAATTATTACGGTTATATTTATTCTAATAATATTATTGTGAAATCGAAATATTAGCTTCTTAATAAAGCACCTTCAGGGTTATAATGATTTTTTGTTCTTTGTAATGAAGTTTGGTTAAATTATATCCCTTTGAAATAATTTGAGCCCTTATTTTAATGGGATATTAGGTTACAAAGTTTTGTTAATTACGCTGACTGAATTAAATAAAAAAATTATTCAGCTTATGTTGTTTTATTTGTCATGGAATATTTCATATACTTACATATTTTACTTATTTGTACAGTGTATAGATCAAAATATTAAAAAAAGTTAGTAGCAAAGGCCAAAAGTATAGAGGCCATTTAAAAAATATTAAAAAGTATCTTATAGTATTACTGTGTCTGTAATTTCTAATGGAGAAGAGAAAAAAATGTCAAACTTTCCCATATTTTTTCTATTACTTATAAAAAATTAAACAAATTCAATCAAAAATGTGTAAGAGTTATTAAAAATATCTCAAAAAATGAAAAAGTTATGAAATTTTAATTTTAATTAATTTTAGTTGCGCTTGTAAATATAATTTCGTGATGTCACACGAATCGACTGTTAAGATTAATTTCTCAGTCATTTATCGATAGATTTGAAAAAAAATCAATTATTTATTAGTTTGACATTATTATAATTCCATTGCGTCAAATATCATATTATCAACGTCAGGAAACTTGTCCATTGGGCATGGTTTGAGCCAATCTTTTTCTTGTTTTGTTTTTTTTTTATCTTAAATTATAATTTTTTAAATTAAAACTGTTAACATTTGTCTGCTTTGACATGAGTGTTAGCGTTAACACATCACGCGACCATGTCGATGACGACTTACATGAATTTATTCCCCATCTAAACCTGCCTATACATGTTTTCGCTTCAAAAAAGTTGTAATAACAATCCAAGAAATAGAAATGGCTCTTTGGCTTTTAATAGGAGTTTCTGGTATTTTATCATTCGTTTCACAAAGATGACAGAGGTTAAGCTGAATTTGGGCGATTACAATTTATCACGAAACTAATATGATAAAACTTTCTCCTTTAACTTGTGCTATTTGGCAGAATAAGAAAGGTACACTATGTAAGGTAAAAAATGATTTTCAGAATAACTTCGTTCATCATCATTTGCTAATAGATATTTAATTGAGATGTTTTTTTTTTATAATACAAGATTTTAATATACGGCTTGAGCTTGATTTAAAAAATACTTAGAAATAAACTCAGAACCGATCGTCAAGATCGCTATAAATATACTCTTTGTTGAAGGCATTCGTGTTCATAGCATAAAAATAAAATTGGTTTTACTTTGACGTGTGAGCGTTTTGTTTTGACATTGTAATAGAACAATACTATATGTACATCTGACGGCAAGGAAGAAATATGTGTATGTCTCCAACTGTATAATACTACATTCCTTCGTCAACTTGTTTTTATTTTTTTAGTTAGCTTTTATTTTACAGTAGCCTATATTCCAGTTCTATCTGTACACTAATTCCTACGAAATACGTCCAGTTACATCAAGGTAAAGGAGTAACAAACATACACACACATACAAGCCTTAACTTTTATAATAGTAGTTATGATGATAAAAAACAAATGGCATTTAATATGATATAAAACAAGTAAAAGGTTTTTTTTGTTTTTACCGAAGTATTTGCCGCGGTATTTTTGTTTACTTTAAATAAATTAATATTTAATTTTGTAATGGATTTAAATATAATTCTAAGCAAGTTTGATTAAAAAAAAACAAGAATGGAAAGATAAATTAAAACTATATCTGAATCTTAAGAGCTATCAATTGTTTTGTTTATTCAGCTATGTTCTTACTGACACTTTGCTATAAAACTGTTAAGCAGATAACACATAGTGTACGAGTATATAATTATAATATTTCCTTTTACATCCAAGTGTGATGTTAAACAATTTTTACATCAAACAAAGTACAAACGAAAGTGTATTTGTATTAACTGATTGGTTGTTAGGAGGAATGACGTCTTACAATTATTTGTTCGCACAATAACATATCACGCGTATAATATTAAATAAATAATAAATAGGTGTGATTTATGTTATTACAGCTGTCGTCTGGCACGAGGAAGAATGTGATTGTACTCACTATATGAGTACCGTTGCATTTTTTAAATTTTGCTGCCGATATCAAAGCAATTTATGCTAGTGGAATTTCTAAGGCACAAGTTTAGTATATGGGACGCGGCCCCTGGACAAGCGAGTGGTATTTTTGGAAAGGGCCTGATAGGGAGTTCAAATATATAAAAATTATTTTGATTCCTTAAAATAATTTTTATATATTTGAATCTTCGTTTCCACGAAGGAGTCAAAAGTTATGGAGACTTAAAGTTAGAACATTTTCGTATATTTCTATACCTAAATAAGTCATTACATAAGATACACATACCTTTAACGAATAATAAATATTCTTTTCGTGTAAAATATGGATTTTCATAATAATTAACGCTTTATTATAAGTTAATTTAATATTTTGATAATTTCACTAAAAATAATCTAAACACAATAATCTTAAATTTTGACAAAACTGTCAATTTCTGTTTTTTAGACCGCTTTTAGGATATAACAGATTATCGCTTAATAATTAGTTATGCATATTAAAAGTGAAAGTTGTCATCAGATTACCAACATTTTAAAATAGAAATATGTTATTTTGAATACATGCATGCATTTACTAGTTTTTATTTGATTTATGTAAAATATTGAGTTATATAATTAATTTACATCTGTAAATACTTTTCGGTATTTTTGGTGGGTAGTCACAAAATACCGCAAAGTTCGATAGTGTATGTGAATACGATCTGTACTCATTAAACGCGTTTAGGTTTTTATATTTTCTGCTCTTTTTCATAGTTATTATTCTCCTATTATTTCCCAGTAGTTATTAGTTTTTCTTAATTTTCGTATACGTTCGTTTTTAGTTTTTTGTTTTAATAGTGTTACAATAGTTTTAAGTGTTCTTAGTGTTTTAAGTATACTCATGCAGTTTATAAACGTAAGTAGACTATTTTTTTAATCTAAGTGTAAGTATTATTTATTTTCGATTAAGTGGCATTCCGACTTGGATAACGTAGGCTGAGAAGGTTAAGGCGGAAGCATAGCGTAGCTCCCGCCCTAGCCTTCTCGTTAGGTCTTTCTTATTTCAAACCCAGAACCCCTGCTATCATTAGTGCTTTATATTAATTTAAAATTCGGTGATAGATCTGACTCATTATTTGAAGATCATTTTCACTTGCAAGTGACATTTTGACATTTCCAAGTGTCAAAATAACAGTAATGTCATAATAATATATGGAAATGTTTTAACTTTAAGTCTCAATAACCATTGACTCTTTCGTTTCCTCAAAATAAAATTTATATATTTGGACTCCCTATCGCCTCCCCTATCTAAAAGTACCACCCACTTCTCCAGGGGCCGCGCCCCATATACTAAACAGCAGCCACGGTCTTAAGTAATATTAACGAACTTTATCTTAACTTTTTATGAAAAATGTTATGAGACATGTCTCATAAAGCTAGGGATTACAGATTTGATTCCAGTGCAAGGTAAATGTTTTTATTGATTAGATTTTTGATTGTTTCTGATGACGAACCAGACTGTTTAATATTGGACACCAACCACGTATTATTTTAATATCCCTAAATAGACATAATGTAAATATGTATTAGTAATAAATATAATTAATATTTTTTCTTTGTTTAAAAATAAAAATCTCTATGAAATAATGAAAATATAAATTAAAATAATAATTGCAATTTATATTAAAAGAATTCTTTTATTTAAAACCAGCACAATTTTCAGTGGAAACATTTATTCGTTATTTGATTAAAAATGGAATCCTGTGACAATACCACGATATCAAACAAAGAGAGCTTCATTTTCTGCTCTCATTAGCGCTTTGTCTTACGACATTCGTGTTGTTTCTAAGGAATTTAAACGTTCAAAGACATGATGTGCCTTGGAAGAAAAAGCTTAGCGTAAGCGACCTTATAAATTATTAACATAACGATACTTTATATTATTGTTTGCATTATAATTGTTGCACATATAATTGTAGATTGAAATTAAGGCGGCCGTTTAGAATTGGGGACTTGGCCCCTAGCGGAGTGGGTGGTATTTCTGGATAAGGGACGTGATAGGGAGTCGAAATGTTAAATAATTTTTTTAATACAACAAAAGAGTAAAAAGTTATTGAGACTTAAAGTTACAACATTTCCATACATTATTTTGACATTACTACCATTTAGACACTTGGGAGTCAAAACGTCACTTTTAATTGTCAAAATGATCTCCAGATGATTGTCTTTATTTGTACTTTGCGTGAAATTCGAATTTTCTAGTTTTCTAGTCATTTATGGCACTCGCCGGCCGCTACCGCGGCACGCTCGCTTCGCTCGCTCGGCTCGTGCGTTGTGGCAACTGTTCTAACCTAACCTAACCAAGATATGACGAATAATTAATAAATAATCTTAAATGTT